GGTGTTTTTTCTCATCTTTTTCTCCTAGTCTCACTCGAGGTGATAGCCTAACTGGTACTCTTCCCGTGCGTGCTGTACTGTATTCGGGAAGAAACTGCCTCATTCTGTAGATCCTAAAAGATTCTAGACCTGCGCAGCTTGACGGAAGCTGGGGGGGGGGGGTTCAGAGTGGGGCTGAAAAAGGGGAAGAGATGGATGGAAAGGAGGAAGGCAAGAAGGAAGGAAGGAAGGAAGGAGGGAGGGAGGGACCAGATACCGTGGTGAGAACGGGAGAGCAGGAAAAGTCAAAACCCACATACCGGTACTCGAGTACCGGTAAATGTGGTGCTCGTATTATAGCACCGAGATCAAGATCAGCAACGAATGATCCACACCCAACAGAGATCAGAAAAATCTGCTACCCCTCTGGCATTGCCGCTGTAATACCGGTAGCCTTGCAGATCTCGGTGTTAGCTCAAGTATTTTTTTTTTCCTCCCTGGCTCATAAGGCTGAGGAAGGGGGCGAAGGTGAGGGAGAGGGTGAAGGAAAAAGGATGAGGATAAAAATAAAATAAAAATGATATTTCCCACCGCTTTCCTTCCCGATGATTTCCCTGCTCGCCTCATCCCCACGCTTGCTCTGCGTTGGATCGTGCTCGAACCGTGATTGCAGTACGGCAGGAAGTTCTACAAACGGCTGGTCTAAGGGATGCGCATACCATACGGTAGTAGAAATTGGCGTTAGCTGGCTATTAGGGAATATATCGTGCCTTTCTATTCCATTCCTTTCTTCTTCTACTTTCTTTCTTCCCTTTGGCACTTTTGCTCCCCTCTTTCATTCTTTTTGCTCCTGAACCATCTTTTGTTTGAGGCACGTTGCCGATGCCGGGCAGAATATTGTAGTGCTTTCTTGCTTGTCACGACGGGTAAGAAAAAGTTTTTCTATCTTAGGGGAATAGACTTCCCGGGCGAAACGAGATGAAACACATAAATCGTGAGTTTGCAGAAAAGATAACATTATAATAATAAAGAGCTAATTTAGAGGAGTGCTTCGTGTTCACAATGTTGTTTTTTTTTGTTTGATCTCTTGTCCTTTTTTCCCCTGCCCAATACTTATTCTGCACACGGGATGATCACTAACTTTACGGGATACTCGCCGCCTTGTTCGCTGGTGGTCCTGCCAGGAGACTTGGTGACTATTTGAAACTGCACTGATGGGATCCGGGGGTGATAAAAAAGTGAAAAGGTGAGGAAAAAATGATAACTTAACGCAACGCCTGACCAAAAACACCTCCGCCCGAGAAACCTGGAGGGGGAGAAAAGAAGAAAAAAAGACGGAAAAACGTGCAGGAAAGTGAAGCTACAGCGACGCCTAACAAGACCTTTCATTCGAAAAGGGGAAAAAGAGCAAAATAAAAATAAAAATCCATGACATTATCGTCATCTTTTTTTTCTTTTTTCGCCCTCACGCCTTATACATCCCAGAAAACTTCCAATCTCAATACCGCGTCCGGAAAGAAGATATCCAACACCATTTCCTCAAGGCTCTTGGCTACCTCCCTGACTCTCATCTTGTCACCCTGCGCACCTCTTCCTTCCCTTGGCCTTAATTCCGTCCGCAACCTGCAGCCTACCCGCTGCTTGATCTCTCCCGGTCCCTTCCTATCGCTTAGCTTTCCCGTGAATAGCTTCTCCCCAAGTAGCGGCTGTCCTGGCTGTGAGGTCTGGTTTGCTAGGTACAGAGTGTACTCGGTTTCAACGCCACCGGATTTATTGCGGGTGCTTCTGTGAGTTCCGTTGATGTTTAGGAATGAATGGCCATCCTTCGGTGGTGATGGTGTTGGAAGCTTTGATGGCGGCGAGGGTGAGGTCTTTCTTCTGCTGCCAGTCCTCTGCACGCCACCTAACCCTTGGGGTCTCGGGTGTCCGTTGTTTTCTGTGCTATTTGCAGACTTTACTGCCACTGCCTTTAAACCTCTGTTTTCGCCCTCGACATATCTCCTTCTGATGAATGATGGCTCCAATTCCTGCTCCGCACTAGGCCCGAACTTTATAAGGTTAGAGGGAGGCTTCAGGCTGCTTCGGGCACTATCTTCGATGATGGTGCTTTCAGCACCACTTCCTCTTCGCGACCCGCCAAGTGATTCGCCATCCTCATTGCGTGCTGCAACGTGGACTTCCATGGAACCTCCTCTGCTACTCCTCGGATCTTCGGGCACGATTAATGTTTCCGGAGCCGTGAAAGGGAGTTTGGCATCAGGATGTCGCTTGGCTTCGCTTTTCTTTCGGATAACTTGTGCTAGAATCGATTCGTTGGCAGTGGCCTCGGAGCGAAGCGCAGTCGCTGGGGGAATAGAAGCAGGGGCCCCGGGTGAATGAGCAAGCGCGACGCCCCCGGTGGAGGTTTGCCCGCTATCAGAAGATACTCTGTCATCCGGTGGGGTTCCGGCGGCTGCTGGACGAGACTTGGAAGCTTCGAGGGCAATTGCAGAGGTAACCATCTCGGTCCGAGCTTCCGAGACAGGTGTTCTCCGCGAAGACCTCAGCGACGGGGACTTGGAAAGTCTTGGGATGGAAGCTGCCATTGAGACTGCCATTGCCGCGGTTTGCGGAGGGGTCTGTTTTCGAACAAGCCTGAGAGGGGAAATTGGGGAGGAGTATTCTGTAGAGGGTGGTGGCGAGGGCTTCGTTGGAGCCTTGGAAGAAGGTCTGGGGATGTGCGTCTGTGTCGGGGGGCTTATAGCTCGCCTTCGGAACGAACCCACGCGGGTTGGGGCATTAACCGGTGTTGATGGGCGAGAGGTCGTGGCAGCAAACGGCTTGGGTGAGGTTGACGGTGCAATCGCCGAGGCTTGGAGGCTGGCTGCCTTCATGGTTTCCGTTCGAGCTGGCCAAGGAATCGATGAACTAGCCTTGCAGGAGGTAGGAGGTGTGGGTGGGAATTCACATGTTGGACGGGAAAAGTTGACAGTAGGTTTGATACGGATTGGCTCGGACTTGGGGAAATAGGACCCCGAAGACGGGGTTGGGCTGTCCGCAGGAGTGGGGGGCAGGCCAGTTTCTCTGGTCTGAACACGGGAGGGCCAGGGTTTTGATAGGGATTCGGTGGAGGAGGGTGGCGACGGTAACGGAGCAGGGCCAGACGCAGGCCGGGGAGCTGGGGGGGGTGTTGTTGGCTTTGCGGGTAGTGTTTGCTTTTGCATGGGTTTCGGGGGAGGGCTTGGAGTTGGAGAAGGAGATTCAACTGAGCTCACAAGAGGTGAATGTTTCTGAATTGGCAGGGCCATTGGGTCGAAGAGATCCTCCGAACCTTCGGCCGTTTCCGCCCCTGGTGAGTTTGGTATCGGTGGGGTAGGCTCGCTCTCGAATGCTTGGCCTTTGATCGGTGTAGGTTCCCTTTTTGTAGAAGCAATCATAGGAGTTGGTTCTCGGTCTGGAGTAAATATTTCGGGCTCGGAGAGGGCTAGGGGAAACCCTGTCTCGACAGCTGGAGGTGTGATTGGGGGAGGTGGTGTGGTGTGCTTTCCTGGCCTTGGGGAAGGCGCAGAAACTGGGGCTGGAAGAGTTGTAATGGTTGGTGTGGCAATAGCCTTTGGAGTTCCCGGGGCTTGATTCGAAAGTTTTACGGGAGTGGTCGGAATATCAAGCACAGGTGTTTGCTTTCTGGATAGTTTTGGAGGTGCCATCAGGATCAGACCCGGCGACTGGACCCGCGAGCCGGGGGTGGATAAAAGGCCTCGTGAAGGAATATTTCCAAAACACGTCGGCGAGAGCGGGCTCAAGGGGATATTGGTGGGTGTGGTTGCTCCGGAGGATAAATTGTAGGACGATGCTATGCGGGGCAATGCCGGTATTGATGCACGTAGTGTAGACACGATGCGGGAGGCCGGTGCGGGCGACGGCGAGGGACCGCTAGGAACCTCGAATCCAAACACTGGTGGGGTGGGTGGGGGGTTTGGAGTCAAGCGATGGTTAAGCTTAGCCTCTCTGCTGCTATTCTCCCATAGTATCGTCCTGCACGAGTCCTCCAAGATTCTGGACATTTTGTCAACAACAAAGGTGTACATAACTGCATTCTCTGGACTGGAGCACTTCATTGTGGGCACGGTCCAACTGTTGTGGAGGGTGGGTTGGTAGTGGCTCTGGGCCTTTGTAGCTACATCAAACTTCCCTTCTAATTGAATGAAAAGTGTGCAGAGATAGCACGATTTCTTGCTGCATCCGATAAATGCCGGACGGCCGATATGTGGATTCTCTTCGTAGAACTTTACCATCTGTATTTCAGCATGTACCGCGAGCTTCTCCTGGCAAAGCTTCTGATATCGGGTCTCAAGCTTTCCGTCCTTGAGGTCGGTAACTGATTGAAGGCGCTTGAGGCATTGTTGCTTGCTATTTGCGGTCAATTCCTGGGCAACGTCGCCGACGTAGATGCCGTGAAAACCCGTGGATACTGCGGCCTCTGGGGCAAGTTGGGGGACTGCTTCAACCTCGAGGTTGGTAAACATCTCGGGGTACTTCTTGGCTCCTGTTACCAGAGCCACACTGGCGGACTTGTATCTCCCAAGTTTCTCAATCACCTGCGTAAGCGGCCTCCGGCCGTGAACCGATTTCAAGAACGCTCGGAAGTTTCTGGACGCGCGAAATCGATAGCAGGTGTCTAGCAATTTCTCCAGGTCTTTCCCGGTTTTCTCCCTATCCATATCAACAACTCTCGTGCACAAGTCGTAGATTTTCTGGAGCACCAGTCTTGCCTCTTCGTCCACGAGGGATTCGGTAATGCTTGCATCTTTCGTGCCCAACGATTCCTCGAAAAGCTTGGGCAGTGATCCGCTAGCCTTGGAAAACCTCTCTTCCAAGTCCGCATGGATTCTCGGCCGTTCAAGTTCGAGGACTCTTCGCCAAGTCTCCGCCTTGACATCGGCTTCAGGCGATTCTGCGACACAAAGGTCAGTCCGCGGCCCCCATTATCCTACCAGGTTTGAGTAATGCTCTTACCACCCCTCGCGAGCCTGCTAACTTCATTGCAAACACCCCGAAGCCCATCCAGTATCCATTGAGAAACCCCCTCTTTCATGGCAACCCTAAACCTGAGCGTGCTGCCGACATCAATAACATATTCTTCCTCCACACAGCACGCGGTATCACCGGCCCCTGCCGCAACTAGGAAGGCGAAATGCTCTGTCAAATCTCGTTCGACCTTTGGCGGCAGCATGCTCTGGTATCCACCTCTCTTCTCCCTCGAATCAGCATTCTGATGGACGGGTTGGGCTATCTGTCGCGGGGGTGTCGGATTCAGAAGGCATTGCAGCGCAACAAGTTGAACAAACTTCTTCCGACTCCTCTCCGGCCACACAAACGTATTTGGGTCGACAATTTCGAGAGGCTCTGCTCTGGTATTCCTTCCTGGCCTTCGTCGTGCCGAACTTGCTCTCACCGAATTTCCTCGTACCGTCGACATTCTCCGAATGATATGGTGTGATCTGGGGTAAAAGCGCTAAATGGGACTCTGCACAAAAAGCTATACTCCACAGCTAAACGCAGGGGTAAAAAATAGAAAAGAAATAATAACCAAAAAATAATTGAATAGTGCCACAATGCAGTAATCGGGAAACACAGGCACCGCCCGGTAATCAAGATGATGTTTTTAGGAAATAATAATGAATTTTCACCCTATAGCCCACTCCGAACAAAGACCCAACAACCAGCTCAGGGGCTTTCACCCCATTCTCTCGTGGCGAGTATATATATATATATATATATATATATAT